CCATTACTTTAGTAAACCAGTGCTGAATGATGCCTCCTCATTGCAGCATAGTAGTCAATATGCTAAAAATAGTGTGTTTCTGAACATGTGGCACTGAACCCAAACAGAAATTTAGAGTGTAGGAGTTCCGAGCTCTTACCTACATAACAATTAGCTAGGTCATCGTCGTGCAGCATCTGTTACTAAATCTCTGTGTTTATCTTGACTTGCTGTAACAATTCGCTAGAATATGATCACGTTTTATGTTGTGTGACCAACAACTTAAGTACAAATGTTTGTTCTGTGTATAACATTAAAATGAAATTTTGCTTTCATCCTACGTTAAAATCTTGTCTTGGTCAATTGTTTGAATTCATCTTGGCCTGCCATGCAGCATTTTTAAAGCTGTATTCCTGGCTCGAGAGGTTTGTCAACACCTATACTCCATTCCATACTTGGTACGCAACGCTGTCAAGGCTACTCGCACGAGCATGTGACTATATGATGAGCTTTGTGCATGCCTTTGCACTTGATGAAGCCACATGCGCGTGTTAGTAGCCTTGACGGTGTTTTACACTAATTATGAAACGGAGTATAGAGAACTCAATTTCTGAGGGGCTAATGGGTCTAAAGGGTTGATAGGTCTAAAGGGTTGATAGATCTAAAGGGTTCATGGGTCTGAAGGGTTTGTGGGTCTAAAGGGTTGACGGGTCTAAAGGGTCGACGGGTCTAAAGGGTTTGAAGGGCTAAGAGAGTCCATAACACATCAAGGCTGATGGGTTATTTTCAATAGGGTACGCGTACAAGAGGGATCAATCGTTGCCAACACGTAGGTTGCAGTGCACTTATCATAATAATAGCGGACTTGAAAGATGTAATCCGTGGTATGTGTCGACACGTTCAAAACTGGACAACCACACAAACACTAAACGTGAAGGAAGGCTTCTTGAAGTTTCAACACGATGCGGCGCACAAGCTGTCATTTGCCGAACCCAGCCAAACCGCAAGAATTCCTGACTTCTTTGAAGAATCGCTTGTTGCCGATATACGCGTAGGACTTTTCGAACATTTGGTGCACATCCCATACGTTGTCGAGAGACATCCTTATAAGACCGCAGGGAAAGGCGGCAGATCAAAGCAGGCAGGACATACGAAGTTGCAACGGAAAACAAGCAAACAAAGAAAAAGCGACTGTCAACGCCCGGGCAGCCGGATCTGGCTATGCTTATCAGCGTGGAGCGTGCCCTCCCCTCTTTCTAATCACGTGAAAGAGTTGACCAGAGAGGAGAAAGGAGGCGACGGCGAGGTCAAATACTTTACGTATTTGGCCTCGCCTAAGTAATGGCGAGGTCAAGGCGCAGGACACCGGGACACCCCACCCACCTCCCTCCCAACCCTCTCCTCATGCATTCAATAAAAAAAAAAATAAAGAAAGTTGAGTTTGGCTTTTTGTGGCAATGCAGTCAATGCTAGGGGAGAGGGTGCACGGACCGCTGTACACGCGCTTTTGTCCTCTCTAGTAATTGCCACTGCACGTCGCGTTTGCAGCCAGGCGACACGCTCGCATTTCAGCACGCACGCTGGAAATGGCGTGGGCCAGAAGCTCGGCTTGCGCCCGAGCCACGGTGTAGGAAGGCTCTTTAGGTGTGGAGACTCCTCTCCTCGCCCCGTCGGAACGGCGAACACATCACGTCCACTCCTTTCCTATGTTTTCTCCGCCTGCCCCTAGTGGGCGCCAAAACGTTCAGGCCGTCCGGTCGCCGGCCCTCCGCCGGAACGTGGGCTAAGTCGCCCATTGGTTACGCCGCCTCTGATTGTTTCCAACTTTAAAAAAAATTCAATGCTGAACTGAGCATAAAAGAAACGTAAAAACCAAAGATCCAAAGCCAAACATTTGAATGAATGCGCCGACAGCTCTCCAACCTGGAAAGACGTAAACATTTTAGAAAGGGAAAACAACGACATGAAAATGTTAGTAAAAGAGACAATCAGGATAAAGACGTCTGCCGAATGCATCAGTCACATGCTCGGTCGTTGTTCTCTCCAAATTGAAGGAGCCTCGTAGGGGATTGTCTTGCATGCGGTAGACGCAGACACAACAAACTGCCCATCTGTTCAGGGTCGGATTCTGTCTGGCGTTCTCGTGGAATGCAGACGCTTCTCCGGTTTCGGTCGAACGTGCAAAAGGGTTCGGATCGCATGAGAATGCGACAGGACTGCAAATGAAAAAACCGAGATGCAAAGAAACAGTCTCGAGAAAAGAAGAAAGAGTCCAGACTGTGCGACTTGTAATGTGGAAAAGAACTCCAAGAGCAGCTATAGAGTTTGTCATACATTAAACAACGTTGTAACAGCGTTTTTCTTTACAGCGTTTTTTTTTAAAGTTTGTGATGATATTATTATTATACTTATATCCGAAGCGCCATTAATAAAACCGGTTTGCTTTACTGGACGAGCGTGGTTATTATAAACCTTTGCTGCAATCTGGTACATGCAAATGTAAGTGTAGTAACAAAGTGAACCTTTCAAAGAATGCTGCTTTCATTAATGTCTACGTGCAAAATGTGTAACTTCGTGCCAATTCGGCCAGCAGTTCAATTTAGCAGGACTCAAAGGCCGCCTTAAATTGTAAAAGAATAATCGCGTTAGCTGCCTTACATGTTGAAAAAAAATTGTTTTTTTAATAGTCCAGTCGAATCAATGGTAATTTGCGAACCCGATATATATACTGTAAACGACTAAACTTTCGCGGGGATTTAACTTTCGCGAATCTTGCGAATCGCCCACAATTCGCGAAAAATATGTCCCGCTAACAATTCGGGCAATATGTGAACGCTACGGAAGCTACACTCGATTCGCGAAAATTAGAACCCGCGAATAATTTCAAATTTTCAGCTTTAGCCCGATTCGCGAAAATTTGAACCGGGGAAAATTAAGTCGTTTAGAGTATATATTTTTAAAGAAGTCATGTGAACGGTGCCTAAAGCAATTCAGTTCCTTATTATGCGTTAACAAGGCTTGTGTTAATCATTCTTTACTTTTGTGCATTTTTTTTTCGGTCGCACTCAAGTTATCGTTTACCTGTGCTACAATCGGAGGAGAAGACGACGAAGCTTGCTCTTAGTCGGCGCCTGGACATTGCGTTCGTATTTCTGGCAGTTTTTGCTGTTTTGCAACTTACCCCGCGGCAACAGAACACTCTCACTGTCTCCTGCAATATCACCAACACCTTCACTGCAGGAAGTATCCTCGATAAACCGAAGGGTTTCCACCCGATGGTGCTCTGGACGGCACCGATCCGGTAGGCCTGATGGAATCCGATGATGCCACCTCGAAACCAATACTCGCCCCTGCTCGATTCGACATGACTTCTGTAACGCACACCACGCAAAACTTGCAGCCCAACATTTTGACGACTACTATGAAGTACTTACCACCTGAGGAATACGACACTGCCACGGAAATTGAGACCTTCTCTGAAAAAGAAAAAACCGACGACCAAAACGATGTCGAAGATATGGAAGAACTGTATGCTTCTACCAATGAAGAGTCGCAAGATCCCGACAACCAGTACAAGACGGTTGAATCACGCAAACGACGCAGGGAGAGTACGGACTCAGAATCAAGTTCTCCCAAACCAGCAATCAACTGCCAGGCTCTTGGGCTCACCGTCATATTTACACCAGACGACCAAAACACCAACATCAAAAGCTTCAACCCTATCAAGCTTTCGGACTGCTTGAAAGCCAACTGTCCTGATGGAATTTACAGCATTCGACCTAACTCAAGGCTGAATGTGATTGCTGTAGACACTCGCAATTTAGATACAACAAGCACTTTACTGCGTATCAAGTCCCTTTGTGGGGTTCCGGTGAGTGCATACGAGCCCCGCTCTAAGAACATGGCAGTGGGTGTCATCCATGGAGTACCGGTAGATATCAACGACAGCCAACTAACTGAGGCACTACTCTCAAAGACATCAATCGTTCGCATCCGAAGACTGGGAAAGTCACAATCTGTTGCATTAACATTCGCATGCCCAACTCTACCCGATGCGGTATGTGTAGGCTATGTGCGCCACAAAGTATATTTATACGTGGAAAAACCAACACAATGCCGTACTTGCGGTCGCCTCGGACACGTAGCTGTATCATGTGCATCTTCGTCTATTTGCACAAAATGAGGAAAAACGCACGACTCGACATCCTGTCCAGATGGACCACCCAAATGTGTCAATTGCGGACGTGACCATCCCTCTACTTCTAGAAGCTGTCCAAGATGGCAAGAAGAAAGGGATGTCGTTCGTTACCGTGTTCTTCACGGAAGCGACTATCCAACAGCAAAGGCAGCAATAAAAGCTGATGCCTCTGAACACAATACCGATAACACAACTGGTCCCGGACACGGTCAAAAGTCAGCAGGAAGCATGCCAGTGAGTAACAAGCCACATAAACAACCAATTCAAGAGCCGCCCCCAGCATCGCAACCTTCCCAAAGAAAGGAAAACAAAAAGCCACTCGATAAACTAGGAAGAAGTACACAACTTAATACAGACGACCTCGAGTCCTTTCCGCATCTCCCAAACACAGTACCTACGACACAAGAAGACCTCGCTCACAATCAACCTTCTACATGGAAGGTTGTAAGTAACATTGCCACCAACCTTGTCAAGAGTGCCTGCACTCCACAACCGAATGCTGCAGCTGAACCACCACCACCTGCGCTGGGCATCGGAAGCATCTTTTGTGCTGCGATCAAGGCCTTACGTGGACTGCTTCAACACGTGTCTTCACCCATTGCCATCTACATTGTCCAACTCATTGACACATTTACTCCGCTCCTGCAACAATGGTTGAGTTAACTCAACTGTTACTACTTAATTACCATTTATTATAATTATGACAGCACTCACTATGGATGATAGATACAACAATGCGACTATATTCCAGTGGAACGCGAGAGGCCTAAGGGGGCGTCTATCTGATCTTAGGCAATTTTCACAGAAGCATCAATTTCCTGTCATGGCCATATGTGAGTCAAGGCTTCCAAACAATTTTCGTTTTTCTGGGTATGAATATCTTTCTTCAACCCGGACTACAGGACCAAGTAGAGTCATCCTTCTCCTGCGCACAGACCTCAGTTACGTGCATCACGCTATTCCACCACATCAAGATAATGAGTACATAGTGGCTACAGTCACTGACGGCAAGGGCAACTTCACCATCATTGCTGGGTACATCCCACCGAAAGCTAAATTTGACGAAGGCTACCTCACTGACATTCTCAGCAAGTACCCGTTGCCATTTGTCTTAACAGGTGATTTTAACGCCCATAATTCTGTATGGGGCAGCACGCACACCAACCCTCGAGGTAGGAGATTGGCCGATATTGCTGCCTGTCACCATCTCTGCCTAATGAATGACGGTAGCCCTACGTATATACAGAATCTTAAAAGTAGCAGCTGCCTAGACCTCACATTCGTTTCGCCATCGCTAGCATCTCAAGCAACATGGTTTGCCGACATTGAATCAAGAGGTAGTGATCACGTGCCCACCTATACGAGGCTTGGGAATTTTAAAAATATGAAAACTCATCATGAGATTAGCCATATCAATTGGGCAAACTTTCAAGAAAAAATGACCGAGGAATGCAACCAAGAGATGGACTTACCATCATTCACAGAAGCCATCACTCGTTCATTAAAACAATCAAGAGAGCAAACAACCTTACCGATTAACCAAACTACATTCAACGCCGAATATGAGCGACTTCGGGCTATTCGCCGGCGTGCTGAGAGGCGAGTTAGAAAGCATAAAAGGCCCGAGGATTTACGTGAGTTCCGACGAGTAACTAAAAAAATCAAACGTCATTTGAACAAACTTGCAAAACGTCGTTGGCGGAAAATGTGCTCAGAACTTGATCCAAGGAAACGTACTACGAGAATATGGCAAATATCAAGAGGTCTTCGAGCAACACCGCAACAACGCTATCCGTTTCGGGCACTAGCTCTATCGATGCAGTGTTCAGATATAGAGGCCGCGAATCAGTTCTGTATACGAATTACGCAGGCGCAGTCTACACACACAATCACACCGAAAACGCCACGGCCGACACCACCGTCAACTCTGTCATGCATGGACGTTGATTTCTCTCTGAACGAACTCAAATCTGCTCTTGCATCATGTAGGCAGTCAAGCTCACCTGGACCAGATGGTGTTACCTACTCGGCAATTGCACGACTCGGACCAAGTACAATCAAATGCCTTCTTCGACTCTTCAACCAATCCTGGAACGAAGGCGAGGTACCTACATCATGAAAAGTCTCTCAAGTTATACCGTTACTAAAGCCAGGTAAATCACCCCTTACCATCACTTCCTATCGACCCATTGCGCTTTCAAGTTGCATAGGCAAACTCATGGAACGTATGATCTTGGCGCGATTGGAATGGCATTTCGAACATCATGGTCTATATTCAAATGAATCGTCAGGCTTTCGACGCGGCCGGTCTTCAATAGACGGGGTGATTGATTTAATTACATCGGTTGAACACGAAAAATCTCAACGACGAATGATCACAGCCGTATTCTTGGACATCAAGAGTGCCTTTGACTCTGTGACGCATGATGCTATACTTGACGCACTAGAAGAACTAGAAATAGGAGGGCGACTCTACAAGTGGATCTCCAGTTACTTAACTAACAGGGCAATTTTTGTTGCTACGGCACAAGAAAAAACTACCCTTTATAATGTCACAATGGGTGTCCCACAGGGTGGCGTACTAAGTCCGACATTATTCATGATATGCCTTAATGCTCTCAGAGTGGAACTTCCAGAAACAGTTCGATCATCGGTATATGCAGATGATATCTGCATATGGGCCTCCGGAGTTACCAGAGTACAGGTTAGAGCTCGTCTTCAAAAAGCATTAGGCACGATTGATAGATATCTTCTTCATCGCCGATTGACCATCTCTCCATCGAAATCAGCCGCCATAGCTTTTACTAGGCGTTGCATGGATAAATACACCCTCAAGGTATCCGGCCAAGCCATTCCGTATGTAAAACACCACATATTTTTAGGCATATCGATCGATCGAGGACTGACATGGACGCCTCACATTATGCACCTTAGAAAAAAATTGACCAGCTTTATACACCTCATACGTTTTATATGTGGCACAACTTGGGGTGCGAAAGTAACATCAGTACTGCGTCTTTACAAAGCTCTATTTGAGGGTCTATTGAGGTACAGCCTGCCAGTCCTTCATGGGATGTGCGCCACGAATTTGAAGCGACTACAAAGTGTACAGGGCTCTGCTCTTCGTGCTTGCTTAGGTGTTCCGCACTCAACATCGACTTTGGGTGTTATAGCAGAAGCTGGGTGCCTATCCATTGAAGCACTTCGTGCAAAAGAAACACTACGTGTACACTTACGCCACCTAACAAGGCATGAATCCCACCACCTTGCCCGGATACAATCATTCAGGAAAGATTCAAGCTATGCTAAATTCTTGATACAGCAGGAGCCAAATATACCAAAGCAGTTTGAAACACCAAAGTTGGCGGATGTTCCACCTTGGACACTAACATGCCCTACAATATCACTCAATATAGATGGCATACAGAAAAAAGCGTCAACTGCACAAACTGTATTAAAGCAACTGACCCTCTCATTAATCAATATCAACCATCGGTTCAGAACTCACATTTACACTGACGGGTCAACAACTCATCAAAGCTCAGCTGCCGGAGTAGTTATACCCATGGAACAAGTCGTGCTCAAATTCAGACTAGGCCACCGCACCTCATCAACTGTCTCGGAGCTGGTGGCCATTAGGGAAAGCTTGAAATATATAATACGCACCGAACCACGAGCATGGTCCGTTTTCACTGACTCAAAAGCTGCACTCCAGAGCATGCAGCACTATCTACGACGTGGAGCAAATGAACAGCTGACATTCACCGTAGTCAGCCTCTGCCAACAGGCCCAACAGGCTGGCCACCACATTCACTTTCAATGGATCCCGAGCCATTGTGGCGTCCCTGGTAATGAGGCCGCTGACCAAGCAGCAAAGAGCGGTCACGACAACATATCTAGCATTTCTGTTCCATATTCAAGAACTGACGCTGGTGCAACGGTTTTCTGGGTCGGAAAAAAGATAGGTGCGGCCCTCTGGGCAAGCCCTTCTCACCACTATCCACGACTTTATAATATAGATCCTGAACTTAAGTTCAGACCGCCCAGAAACCTTACAAGAAAGACTGAATCAGTACTTCACCGAATCAGGCTGGGCGTTGCATTTACATATAAATATCTCCACTGTATTGGAAAAAAACCTTCTGCAAACTGCTTGATATGTGAAGAAGTGGAGTCACTAGAACACCTGTTATGCACTTGCACAATTTATGACGTGGAAAGGGAGGTGCTTACTGAAGAACTTTCCCAGCTGGACTCCCGACCGTTCTCTCTCCAGAAGATCTTAGGAGCGTGGGAGAGCCCAGAAAAGCTGGCTGATGCGACCAAATACCTACTACGTTTCTTACGTGATACCCAACTTATTTGCCGTCTTTAAGGAGCAGATATAGAGCTCCACGTTATTGTGATGTGTTTTTATTAATTTCCTCTTCTTGCCCTTCTTTGGCATCCCCTATTCCCCCTCCCCAGCACAGAGAAACTGGTTAATGCAAACTGCATGGAGCGACCTCTCTGTCTTTCTAAATAAACCTCTTCTTCTTCTTCTTCTGTGCTACAATCAGAGTTTATTCATTTTACAAACGCTTCCCGACGTTACTATTGCGCTACTGAGGAAACGAACGACGGAATGTAAGCTAGGCTAGAAATAATCTACAGGAGAGGGATATTTCTTTTTCACTCGTAGACCGCCGCGTCGGCTCCTATTAGGGAGTTACTCTTGTTTGTCCGTCTGCCATTTTTCGGGTTATGAAAGCTTTAGTGTGCTGAGAGAGATGATAGTTGAATGGCCCCACCTACATACCACATCGTACGTGAACCCGTAGCCACCGAAAAGCAAGCTGCACGCCGAGCAGGCAGCTAGCACAGGCGGCCCGGTGCGCTGCAGGATGGCCTAAAACTTACGGCGCCATCTGGGGGTGGCTCCGTGAAGCCAAGCGCGCGGGGTGTCATTATCTGGTCGCGGCGGAGAGCGGAGTCTCTACACCTAAAGAGTCTTCCTACACCGTGGCCCGAGCCAAAAAAGCACCCACCGCGAGCTCGTAATTTGACTACTCCAACAGCGTGCCTGCTCTCGCAATGCTCGATGTTCTTGCAGCCACGCGATCGCGCGCTACCTTGGCCGCGTCTTGAAATGAAGTTTAACGGACTCTAGAAGTAGGTCCCCGGGGACCCTTTTGAGCCATACGGGCGACACCTTTGACAAACTGGTGGCCGGTATGGCTAAACTGTTAACGGTATGAACCCGTTTATTTTCATACAGGCGCCAAATTTTTTTTTTTTTTCAGTAGGGTACCCACCGGTTGAGGAGGGTAGCGTGAGTAATTACTCCGGAGTAAACAACCCACTTCTGGAACGCGAGTTCTGACGTCATCGAGTAAGCGCGAGTAAATTTCGAAACTCCACGGTACGAAACCTTTACTCCGGAGTCGGATCGAGCAAATTTTGTAACACACCCAGAACGTTCCCAGCCCTACTGAAAAAAAAACCGTATAAAAATTCATACTGGTTGACCCCTCTATCTCATACGGTCATATGGGATACGGGTCTCCCCTATGCTACTGGAAACCCGTACCTGTACAGGTTGACCCATTCAGATACAGGACCCCGTACCTGTATGGGTTGACCCATTCAGATACAGGAACCCGTACCTGTACGGGTTGACCCGTTTAGATATAGGAACCCGTACCTTACAGGTTGACCCATGCAGATATAGGAACAATTTATACAGATTCACCTGTTCAGATAGACAAACCTATATCTTTACACGTTTACCCGTTCTGACGCAGTAATAGGAATCAACATGGTGTTAAACGTTTGCATACCGACTTACGGGTCTTTGCAGGTTCAACAATTCGCAGGCATTTGTCATGCAAAGAATGAGCATGAGCCAGGTCATATCAGGTTATATGTGTATTTCGTGAAGGCAAATTGGCATACTGCAGAACATCAACAAGAAGCTTAACCTCTAAGCAAGCTTAGAAGTCAAGCTTCTTGTTAATATCCTGCAGCAGGATATTAACAAATCGGCATACTGCAGTAGGTTGACCCGAACTGTCCTCTTCCCTGGAGAGGCCTCTCGAGGATGCCTCCATGTGCACTCTTTGAAGGCATGTGCAGGGCAAAATAATACAACAATAAGTCACGTATATCTACAGTTTCTCGAAAAATTTTATATTTTACTTCCTGCAATTATAAGCAAGCAATTTCCACTACAATTTATACTTTGTTACTATCTTGTCATACCATGTAGACTTCAAGAGCAGCTTCTCCCGATTACGCAGTCTGCTGAAAACAGCAGGTATGCATGATTCGGCCAGAAATGTTTGAACCAGTTCATACCGAGTTCGGAGGAATGCAGAAGCAGTGTGCAAGTCGGGCTGCGGCTGCGTGAAGTTAAGCTGCAGCGCTTCGAACGACCCTGTGATTGGTTTCCGAAAGACCGAGGAGTTGCCACCTGTTACTGCATGAACGCTGAACTGACTTCAGCCAGCGCAAGATTCTGTGGAACTGAGGCTGAGCTCGTGCAGCACTGGAATAAATCTAACAGGCCAGTTCAGCGTCCATGCAATTTCGGGTTGAATCTAATGCGTCAGTTCTTACACTATTTGAACTATATCGGGTGGTTCAAGCAAATCGAAAAGACCTAGTGTGACTTCCCACAACTATGCACTTAAAGTTTTCTTGCTACAGTGTGTTCCTTGCATTTCAGTGTCTATAAAAATTATAGACCCTGGAGCAGGGGGACAAAAAGGAACGGAAAGACACGAAGCTCCGGAGCTTTGTGTCTGTCTGTCTCTTTTCCTTCCCACGCTCAAGGGTTACCACGTCTATCCTTAACCAGCTTGCCTGCCTGTTAACTAAAATGAAAGTATGCTCTATGAATCCAAATATGTATTTTTAATTATGAACATGGGCCACTGATTGCCTAGAACCTCGAACACATTTCATGCCCAACAATGTCACCATGGAAAGGAGTGAAAGGAACATTGAACACACAATTCTCGGCCGGCGGTTTTTGTGCGAAAGAAAGATTTTGAGCCGCAATTGTTCTTCTGGGCATGTATATAAATTAACAACACAGATTTGACATCAAGAATCATTTAACAAATTTAATATCCGTGTTACGATTCTTCAATGGTCCATTCATACGAGATAGGAGGAACACCCGCGATGAGAAGGCAGTTTAGAAAAAAATGGGCAGTACTCAAAGGACAGAGCCAAAGATAGCTTGGTTGCAGCAGCTCTAGTGGACAAACACTTGTTTCACAACTTTGCTAGTGCCAGCTTTTCGTTCAAAAGAAAAAATAAGTGCCTTACAGCTCTGCCGGGGATCCAGCAGAAGGTCCTGCGAGCAGGCCACTGATATCATGGACCTCCCCCAAAACTTGCAGGGACGCGGAGCATGTTGCTGTAAAACCTCCACAGTGTGAATGCATCAGAAAGCGCCAAGCGGCCTAGATGACCGTGACAAGGTCACTTTATTTTTCTTCATATATTAAAAGCCAAGAAGGAGATAGGGCTTCTTCATTTCGGTTTTGCGCTCGGAGCTTCACGTTCCTAAAGCTCGAGCTAGTCGAACTGTGACCCTTCAACAGCCTATAACACTGAAAGTTCTGAAAGCCTTGGAATATTTTATCCCATTCATTTTGTCGTAGCAGATCGCAACTTCGGAAGCAATAAGGTTTGAATGTCTCATCAAGTATGAGACATCTGTGAGAAGTGGGCACTTACTGCTGACTGCTGCCAACTTGACTGGAGTCAGGGCCCCCTTGGCCACGGCGCCCTTGAAGCGCCGTCATGGCACCCCTCACACTCCGCCCATGCAGGTCCTCCCTGCCAAAGATCAGCTTCGTGGCCTCTTTAACGAACATGGAGTCTCTCCGGGCTCCCCTGACGTACACTGTTAGCAAAAATAACACGCCCAGACGTGTAAACCGTTGTCCCATAGCGGACACGTCGAAACGTGTTCGTTTTACACGAGGCCATCTGTGTTTTTCGTCTACACATGAGTTGCTGTGTAAACTTAACACGCTACACCGTGTCTGCCTTCCGCAAAACCGTTTCGAGCGTGTTCCTTATGAAGCATGGCGGCCAGCGGCCGAGAACAGGCAAGAGACGAGCCCAGCGAGCCGCGCGCCTTTCAGCCGAATTGAAAGCACACAGGGCGCGTTAGTTCTCGTTCGATGTCTTTTATACACAGTAAAGTCTCCAAGCGGCGGACGTAGCTACTTGCAAAGGTACGTACGTGTGTTGTCGGCGGTCGGCGGCGTCAATAGCTTCAACGAGCCGCTAGACAAAAAAAGAAAAAAACGAATGCCGAACTCACATGAATAAATAACTTGAGCAAACTATTTAGAATCGGGCGGTAACCTATCGAGATTTCTAGCAGCCCGTTTTTTTTAAAAAAAGACGAGTCTGTTAACACTGGGAACGACCACGGCCACACAGCAACCCTACATACAACGCAGGCAACACAGCACACAGCTACACGGCACCGACATATTCACAAACACAACAACCGACACAACGCCCGACACTTCCTACTCGATATCCATTTCTCCCCGCGGCGCATATAAGCTTGACATGTGCGGGTGAGCTCCTTGGTCGCTGACCATTACAGATTTATAGAATACACAAAACACGGCGCAATGGACAGCAGTGTGTTAGAACTGTTTGCATTTAAAAAGTATGGAGGCAAAATCTATAATGCTAGTCCGTTGCAATAAATAATGATATGTTAACAATAAATCTTAAACCGGTCATGAAAAAGTTCAAATTTTTGTTATTTTCTTGCTTGACCAGTGTTATGAGCAGTCCGACCAGCATGAATCAGATAGAAAAACAAATTATTGGGATTTTGTCATTACGTATACAATAATAAATGAAAATGATCCTTGCGCAAAGCATTTTTTATATACTTTTGTGAAGGACATCCGGACATCCGCCCAACACTTCACTTCCGCTAGTTGCAGCAGTTGCAGTACGGGAGCAGACGCCTTCACTTTTGGGGCGTTTTGATGCAGTTTGTTGTCGTATGTCGTGTCGGTG